AGAGACTGGAGACGCGAAATCAGTGATTCTTCGAAATAATTTTCAAGTGCTACAGCTCGTTACACATTTGTACCTTGCAGAAATATGAAAAGTCAATTCACGGTTCACATAAACCTTTGATTCTGATGACAATTCTCTTTTTAAAATAGCGTAAGCTTCGTTCACGTAGACACTGGTTATCTGAACGTTTACCTCTAGAACGGTTAAATGTTTACATGTATCTACGAGCATCCTAGGCTTTGGTGTTCCAAAAATCAAAGAAAAAAGATAGGAAGCACAGTCGGAAGAAAAAATGTTAGGCCGAGCTCTTTCCACTAAGATTAATCTAGATCCTCGTGAACACAGGTACAACGTCCTCTAAACGAGACAAAACAGAGCCATTTTTGTCCTTTCTCTTCGCGGCAAATCAAAGTTTGCTTAGTGAATTCGCCAAGCGATCACGTCGCGATCAGAAGAAAAAAATTACTCTTTTCTTCCTCTCTCACTCTCCCCCTCTCTCAATCTCTTTCTCTCACTCTCCTCTTTCTCTCTCTTTCTCTCTTTCTCCCATTCTCTCATTTTTTTCACGTTTCTCTCAATATCTGGTTAGTTGGAGAACACGGGAAATGCTCACGCTCACGCTCACACGCATCTATATATGCCCGCATTCGCATTGTTAATACACGTTTAAACCTCTAACACGTATGTAATACCACGTTTCTAAATGCACACGGACATACACAGACTCTCCTCTACTCTAATTTTAAACACTTACTGAATCTTCTTATTAGATTGCAGGTGAAGGATTCTGTGGCGGTGTTATCCTCGCACCGCAGGTCGCATATCGTCGGATCGTTTTTCGGTAGCTTTAAATTCGGTACAGACAATAAGCGACCTTCTCGTTTCGCCTGTTTCATCTTCACAATTTTCTTCAGCCTGGGTGGCTCCGGCAACGTTAAGTTCACCGGCCTGACCGCCGACGGTACCGTCGACGGCGCGGCCTCGTTATGGGCTCGCGACGATTTACTATTGTTCTCTCCTTCGACGACCACCGGGCTCTTCGCGTCCTGGACTGTGCGTTTCTTATCGTCATTCAATGGACTGTCGCGGCCTGGTATCGAACCTTCCGACGACACCGGGGATTCAGACTCGATACTTTCGACCGGGGACAACGAACTCGCGGATTCGTTGACGTTACAGTAAAAAACGGAAGATTTCTGACTGCTACTATCAGTGCCTACCTGTTAACAATGGGGTACTTGTACATACCTTTTTCAACTTCGGTTATGTCGTGTTAATTCGCCACTTTTGCTATGTGGAAAGCGTCAACGGAGGTCTAGGTTTGAAGCTTGTTTTTTCGAGCCATGTACCGGAGGCTTACAAAATGTTTGCATACTCTTCTTTCTTTCATAATAATTTTATGTAAACAGATTGATTTCTTGGTGTTCTATTATATGAGGAAACAGTAAGCTTGTTTAGAGGTGGTTAGATGTTATCATTAATAAGTAGCGTAAGAGGATCGACAAGAAACTATTTTAGTACAAGTAGGGCTTTCTGGTGTAACTGGAATTTGTTATGATAGAAAAATTTGAAGATTAATATATTAATATATTTGACTAAAAGCTTATTAGTTTATGTAAGTTTACTTTTGTGTATTGTCGATCGTTTGTTTTTTCATTATTCTTATCACTAAGCGATTTGCATCATCAGCGCGGAAATGCTTCCTATTTACTTTGCCATGCATTTGTAGCATTTACTTAGCGTTATTAGCAGTATTATAATACTACAATAATAATATAGGTATACATAGAAGTAAATGTACATATACCAATAGAACCTTGGAAAAATATGCTAGTATGTTAATGGATAAATTTTTAATACTGAAAAATGGATTGCTTGTCCCTTTTCGAATACAAATTTTCATTGTTTCTGTATTAATTTTTAATGGTGAAGTGTTATCATTTTTAAATGAACTTACTGTTTTCACGTATAATGAACTACTAAAATGTATGAATGTGTTAAATATCTCTTTATATAAAGTTATTGGGAAACAATTGAGCGTACAAATATTTTTTTCACCCACTATACATGGAATTCCTAATGAAGCAGTTTATTTATCCTCTCGTTCAGTTGAACGAAGCGAAAGGATGCGTAAAGCGGGTGGTAACAGCAGGAGGCTTCCTTTTTTTACTTAATGTTATTTCAAACGAATTTAACGAACAACTGTATAAATTGAATAATATTACAAATAATCACAAAATTAAAGTTTTAAAAATTCAATAAGAACCACTTGTGAATGCATGTATTTCGAATTATAATACTCTAAATAAGTCTAATACATGCAAAGATAAAATCACAATGAAATGAAAACTTTGAATGTCACTCACTTACTAATGTAACGTTTACTTTATTTTTAACTTATTAACTGACTGTTTATAAAATAAAAAAAACATTAAAGACTAACAAAACTTACATGTCAAAATAATACAATTTTCTAAATATGTTTATAAAAATTTCATCTATTAATTTCATAGTATTGTTTAAGCTTCAAGTGGTACTGTGTTTGAAATAACATGGAACAAAATTTCATTTCGATTAAACAAACAAGTTAACGTTTCACGAACAAAAGCAAAAAGGAAGAGAAAAGTAAAAATTGGTTTCAGTTAGTAGCTAGTATGCAAGAGAAAACGTATCACTTCTCCTTATAAAATATGTATCTTGCATAAAATGTTCTATGATCTTTAATTTAATATCAGAATAAAAATTTGTAAAGTGAGGAAATAACACTCGACTTTTTTATATTAAATGAAATTACTTAGTTTATATATTAAATATGCAAGATATAAAAGTGTGCGTACATACGTTTTAAACGCGTTAACTACCGAGACGTTTAGGGTGCGTCATTTCACTAATACACTCATTTAAAAATATAAAAGCATCTGTTCTTATAGCAAAGAATGTACGTTCTTTTTCGTACAGAACATTACAAGAAATATTTTAATCTACGTAAGTATCATTTGTTATTTAATTTTATCATTTTTCTCTGTCATTATTTTATTCTTATAGTAGTATATGAATGTTGAAGTTTCCTCGGACATGGAAGATATATATTTCAATTGGAAAGAAAGTGCAGTAACTTCTCTTGCAAATCACAATCTATAACAGAACGTATATTTGAAGAATATAAAAAAAAAAGCATACAAGTACCCCATTTTGAGACGTCACCAATGTCGGCGTGAAAGTACTTTTTATTTTCAGATCAACCTTGCTAAGCTGTCTCTTCAGGCTGAATCCTTTCCAACCATGATTTTTCGCGCAATCCTCTTCGTTCACGGTATGGCTGGGCTTACAGATTTCGTTTACGGATTCCTCTGTGGTTCGTTTCTCGTTATTGCACCCGGTTTGGTTTTCGCCACGGGGTGGATACTGTTGCGATTGTTGAGCATTGTCAGCTACCATTGCTAATAAGGCTTCAGACGGCTCAGTAGAGTCTCGGTGAGTCTGATGAATTCAACATGTTGGATTTTGCAGAATAAATTCAATGCACACGAAACAGCAAAAATATTTAAGACTAAATTTCTAGAAGCAAATCATTTTCACGTTATGTATGCGTTACAATATACAGCATTATTGCATGTGTTGTAATGTTATTATGTGGCAACGCTTCTTAATTAATTAGCATATACACCCCACGAATAACTCTGATGGCCATAAAATCTAATATAATATAATATTATGGTTCTATTTGTATATTATGCTACGTTAAATATAATACCTTTAGTAGTTAGGTGTTCAGTTACAAATAGGAAAACATATGTTTATATAAATGGTGCTCAGGTCAGTCTTCAAACGGATAGATATCGCAAACGTATGGTCACTTGTCACTTCCCAAATAGACGTCGTTTGAAATGATAACAATGAAGAGTGCAGATAAGGGAAGGCATTTGAACAATATACGAAATGCAAGTTAATTTACGCTGGTTAAAGATTTACATATGGAGTACCTAAGATGCTCATAGAAACAATATCTTGATATATTTGTTATCTTCTCTTTTTACAGAGGAAACTTTTAGAAAATGTGAATAGATATTCCGAAATTCCATGCTTCTTCAGAAATTCAATGCAGTGTAGAATTTTATTATTTAATTAA